TCTTCTTTGGGCCTCATAAAAGACCTGTTCCACATGAAATTGGTTTCTGGAAGTATGTATAGTTGCCTCCACCTTGGACTTTCAAGTCCAGGATTAAAAGCCTACATGATGATGACAGATGTGGTTTTAAAGCTGTTGATGAATGCTGGTTACTCACCCCTGAGAACCTGTAATTAAAATTGTAACTTAGGTCCTTGAGCTACCCATTGCCCTTCTTACAGCCCAGCTAGAAGGTTCAGCCTCAGTGACATGCCCTCAGTGACAGAGAGTTGCAGAAATTAAGTTAGAGAGCTGGTGGAGGCATGTCCCACTCCAAATAGGAGGTGTGCACCTAGTCAAAGTGCTGGGGAGCCGCATTATATGTTGCAGGGGTTATGGTTTATCACTGAGCTCAATAGAAAACATTGGAAGTTGGCCCTTGGTGCTAATGACATTGACACCCTTGATTTGTATTACTCCAAACTCAGTATTTTTACAATTAGCCAGCAGTGCCCTTCTTCATACGTGGGGGTTGGGAGAGTCCTTGGGTTGATTACTGTATGTGTTTGTTGTGTGTGTATGCCCTTCAGTGTTCATTCATGATCACTGTTGGACTACCTCTAGTCTGACTCAGTAAGCTGCTGTTACGTTGTGACCTGTTTCTCAACTCTTGATTTTCAGGTCCCTGGTTTGACATGTACCTGAAAGCACGTGAGCCTGTTGTTTTGAATTTTAATGCGTTTATGTCTTTTAATCCCGATCCGAAATCAGAATATAACGACCAGCTCACCCGAGCGACCAACATGACTGTCTCTGCCATACGTTTTATGAAGACCTTCAGGGCTGGTTATCTTGAACCAGAGGTTTTTCACCTCAACCCAGAAAAGAGTGACACTGACATCTTTAAAAAGATTATCCGATTTGTGCCTTCTTCAATCTCTTGGTTTGGTGCCTACATGGTCAATGCTTACCCCCTGGACATGTCTCAGTACTTCAGGCTCTTCAATTCTACACGGCTGCCAAAGCGTGACAAGGATGAGCTTTACACGGATGAAAAGGCGAAGCATTTACTGGTACTGAGAAATGGAAATTTTTATGTGTTTGATGTCATGGATAGAGATGGAAATATGCTGAAACCGTCAGAAATACAAGCACACTTGAAATACATCCTCAGTGACAACAGTTCAGCCCCAGCCTTCCCCCTTGGCTACCTCTCCAGTGAGAACCGAGATACATGGGCATCGCTGAGAAAGAATCTGCTGGATAATGGCAATGAAGAAGCTCTTCAAAAAGTAGACTCTGCTCTGTTCTGTTTAAGTTTAGATGATTTCCCCATTAAAGACTTTGTGCACTTGTCCCACACTATGTTGCATGGAGATGGTGCTAACCGCTGGTATGACAAATCTTTTAACCTTATCATAGCTAAGGATGGCACTGCAGGAATTAATTTTGAGCATTCCTGGGGAGATGGTGTGGCTGTGCTCAGGTTCCAGAATGAGGTTTTTAAAGACAGCACCACAACACCAGCCATCAGCCCCCAGTCCCAGCCTGCTTCAGTGGACTCCTCTAGAGCAGTGCAGAGACTTGACTTTAAGCTGAATGATGCCTTAAAAGCAGGGATTACCAAAGCCAAACAGAAATTTGATGCCACTGTAGAATCCCTGTCGCTTAACTTGATTCAGTTCAAAGAAGGGGGCAAGGACCTTCTGAAGCAGAAGAAGGTAAGCCCAGATGCTGTGGCCCAGTTGGCCTTCCAGATGGCTTTCCTTCGCCAGTACAACCAGACTGTTGCTACCTATGAGTCTTGTAGCACTGCAGCTTTCAAACACGGTCGTACCGAAACTATTCGTCCTGCCTCTGTCCACACGAAGAAATGTTCAGAAGCTTTTGTCAGGGAGCTGTCCAAACACAGCACAGAAGAGCTTCAAAAGTTGATAGTGGAGTGCTCCAAATACCACGGCCGTTTGACTAAAGAAGCTGCTATGGGTAAGTAGGAACACATCAGACACTCCTGTTTTTGCACTAAAATATCTGCCAAGGTTGCTGTAAATATTTGCCTTACAACTAAATAATTTGATTTTGATGGAGGTCTTAATGTAAACTTGACAAAAACAGTAGCAGAAGGCTGGAGTTTAAAGTGCATTCTCACTCATTTCTTGGTGGAGACAGATGCCTCTGTGCTTGTCCTTAGAGCAGCTGGGCACTTGGAAGATAGGATAAATACTTGGTGCATGTTGTACTCCCCAAGGCAACCAAGAACTTTGGCTGTAAGTCTGAGGAGTTACTATCTTATATAGAGATAGGGGGATAAAGGCTTTAACAACTTCCAGATCAAACTGATGTTTTGGCTGTGCTGCTCCTGGCATTTTTCTCAATGCTTTCTTTTGAACTGCCCTTTCCAGAAGCATAACTTGTATTGTTGACTGTTGAACATTACTCCACAGAGTCTAAAATTTGCCTCCTTTTGTTGCTCCAAGATCCTCTTCCTCTTTAGATTCACACATTTTCGGAAAGCTTTTTTCTGCTTTAAACAACTTGGATATGTTCAGATAAATGGTATTAGTCTGTTAACTTTGCACATTTGTGTACTGTAATAATCCTGGTTGAGGCCAGCAGTGAAGCAGCAGATCCTCTTCCCCTAGGATATATGCTTGGGAAGTTCAGAATGTCTGGGCTCTGAAAAATAATTCCTGCTAGTACAAAAATAAACCCCAGTTTACAGACCTCTTTGGTGGCTGAAACGTCAAAAGAAGTGAGGTAACTTCCCTCCAGAATTACCCATCTCTCTAATACGTGTTATTTTCTTTTGACAGGTCAGGGGTTTGACCGACACCTCTTTGGCCTGCGCTATTTAGCCTTAGCCAAAGGTCTTGCACTGCCTGATTTCTACCAAGACCAAGCCTATGCTCGCATTAACCACAACATCATCTCTACAAGCACCTTGGTTAGCCCAGCTGTGCAGTTAGGAGGGTTTGGCCCAGTGGTGTCTGATGGCTTTGGAGTAGGATATCAGGTACATGATGACTGGATAGGCTGTAACGTTTCCTCTTACCCAGCTAGGGATGGTAAAGAATTCCTTCAGTGTATACACAAGTCACTAGAAGATATCTTTGATGTTTTAAGGGGCAAGAAAATTGGTGGTTAGACATTAAGATATTGGAACACTTTATAGTTGCAGAGCAAAATGCAGACTATGTCTAATTGACATACTAATCAGTGTTGAACAGGGCTGAGACTTGCCTAGCTTAATTGGCTTCATGTATCTTCCCTGAAGACTGTTAGATTCACTCTGAAATTTGTATCTATTTTTAAAAATCAGTTACAGACCTTGAATGCATGTTTCAGGAAATACAGACATTCACAAGGTAAATTTAAGTAACCATGTGTTCTTAAGTAATCCGTGTGTTCTTAAAACACATTATCTAAAACAAAAAGCTTTGTTACTGAGTTTATGAACTCGGAACATCTGTGTTCCAGGAGTGTTCAGACAGACTACACTACTGTGATGCCACTCTTAAAACTGGCTGGTTTTAAAACAAAATTTATGCAATAATTTTACATAGGAGAGAGTGGTTCCATTTGCACTGTTGCAGTAAGCTTGCTTACTACCTTGTCACACTTACTTTTCTCTTCAAACTTGAATTTACATCAGATCTGATTGTGCCTCAACTGCTTGAAGCCATTCCACTGTAACAGCTTTTAGAGAAACAAAGAATGCAATGGGAGGCTTTGAGTAATCTGCAATCACCATGCTGTTAAATTGACTGGAAAATACTGTATTTTAATAAAGCTATTAATAACCACAAAGTTCTTTTATTGCTGTATCTAAACCATACAGCATGGATAGTCTCTTTATCAGTAGCTCATGTTTCTTCTAAAAGTTGCCAAGAATACTGCTGAAAGCATCCTGCACTCTATGTGGTATGTACAACTTGAACTCTTCCCTTTAAACCCTCTTGACTTCCATTTTTTTCTGGAAAGATGAGCCTTTCTCTGGAACTGAAGAGCACAGTAGTGGTTGGTTCTGTGATGTGTATAAAACTAAGGTAGCTCATGTCTTTCAGCACAGCCCACTGTGTCCTGGACAGCCAAATTATATTAGCAGAACAGAAAAGGCTGAGCACATTGGTTGGATGTGGCAGATCAGGTTCTGAGGCTCAGAAACCTCAGAGAGAAACCTACCTTTGGATATCTCAGCTTCCAGGTTCTCCCAGTGTCTTTTTGCTTTATCACAGTAAGTGTGAGCAATACCATAGCTTGGAAGTATGAAATGCAAGTGCTAGAAGGGGAGTGGGAAGCTTTTAATGTGTGAGCCTGAAGGCTGATAAACTAGCCCTAGTCAGCACTGTTTGCAGCCTGTAATGAGCTGCTCTAGTTTTCAGCTGAAAAGCCTAATTTTAAAACTTTAAAACTTAACATCATTGTTCTTGATTATTTAAGCAAAGTTAAAAAGGTGATCATTTGGGAAGGTGAAAGAAAGAATATGAATATATCATGAAACAATAAACAGGGCAAAAGTCTGAATGAAACGCAAGATTTTGGGGTGGGGTATTTTTTTCTTTGTGGTTTTGTTTGGTGGATTGGGTTTTTTTTTTTTATTTGTTTTTGAACATGAGAACAGCTGGCAAGATCCTGAGTGCACTTGCCAAGGAGTACAAAGTCTGACTTCAACTAAAGCCTAATGTCGTACTTGGAAAGATAACTTGATTTTCAGAAGATTGTAACTGTGTAAATGTCAACAGCAGTCAAGCTTAATAAGTGTTCTCCGTAAACTTGCCTCAGTGTCTTTACTTGAACTGGCAGAAAGCTGCTAAAGGTGTACCTGTTCCCTTGAAGAGTTAACACTGGCACTTGTAGCCATTTCCTCATGATGGGAGTGGTGAGTGAAAGACCTTATGTGCTTACCTTAGAGAATCAAATGTGGGTACTTCCTGGTCATAGGCTATTAAAAACCTTCAGGCCGTAAGTTGCCTAAGTAGTTACTGTTTCAGCATGTACTGAGGCCATCTCCAAGTGCTCTGTGGAAAATAGTTTATTAGGGCATGCTGGGGACAGCAAGTACAACTCCACGGTGTCAGTCAAAGGTTGGACTTCATGATCCTGAAGGTCTTTTCCAACCTCAGTGATTCTCTGATCTTAGGTTTCCATTTCTGTAGTGCAGCCATGTGAAACATAACTCCAAGGAAACTGTGTCTCTAATGGTTACAGCTCCTCCATCAATAAGCATGTCAAGATTTATTAGGGGGATGAGCTTTAGCATTTTACAAATTTATGGGTAACTTCATAGATTCCCACAGATTCCTTTGTTTTTTCATCATAGTCATTCCAATCCTGTAGGAAATAAGATTTCATGGTGTTAGTCACAGAGGACAGAATGCACAGACTGGAATTCAAACTGAAACTGTTAGTCAAAATTTGGGTCTTAGATTTGTGTGGAAAGGATTGGGCAGTCACCAAGTTAGGTTCTGACAGGTGAGAGAAGCAAGAGCACTGACCTGGAATTACATGACATCAGTCTCAGTGGGTTTATTTATATAATGTTGGAGTTTTTTCACTTATAGTGCACAGCCTGTAGTGGACAAAACAGCAACCATGGCAGGTGAAAGGATTATCCATCATTTACAATACCCTAGTCAGGTGGGTAAGCAGACAAGCAGATCCCTGCCAAGTAGGGGACAGATTTGACCTTGAGATTCCTGCTCACAGCCAAGGAAGATTTGCAATGCTGGTGTCATTATCCTGAGCTTTGAAGGACAGTGTCTGTATTACTTTTTAGTATCTCTGTGCACAGGAAAATGGGCAGGGATCTTCCTAGAAAAATTAATTCACCACTCTAATAACCCCAGCCATTTAGTATTCCAGGTTCTTGCTCTCTGGAAGTGAGTTAGATAAAAGTATCATTTCTACCTCTGTCAGCTGCTAAGCTATCAAATATGTACTTCTAAAATGACACTGTTAGTAATGCTGGTTGTTCATGGCTGATTTAGTTTCTCTCTCCAGCTATGAGCTTCCTGTGGCTACAGGAAAGAGCAACACTAGTCTGGGGTGTGTATTTTGGACTAGTGAATTGGGGAAAGCAAGCTAGATAATTAGATTTACTAATGAAATTAAGACAACATACCTTTTCTAGCAAGTTTATGTCATTGAAAGGTGTGCCAGATTCTGCTCCTTCAGCAGCAAACCCTGCCTGCAAACACATTTGCAGAAAGTTGTTAAACATAAGTTGTACCCATAAAATAACAAATATGATCATTGAAACATGTTTAAAGAAAGTAACTCAGCATGAAATTCAATCGTATTTCTTTTAAATCAGGTAGAAAGAATGGTCAAGCTCTTTCCTAGTTAAGGTCAGTATAAGGTTGTGACTGTGCTTGTGAATTGGGAAAATTCAATCTAAGCAACCACAGAGTAAAATGAGGGAACACTGCTCCTCTATTTTTCCTGCCAGAAAGATATTTCCAAGTATTTTAGATAATGTTAAACCTGAGTTTTTAAGCTTATGTAGCAGCATCCAACTACTAATAATAGCTTTGTGTTCAGAATCCTACAGGCATCATGTATAGAACAGCTTCATAATACTTAGCAAGAAAAAGAATAGAAAATGTGGAAGAAAGTTAATAGTTTTGACTTAAATATTGTCAGACTCTAAGACACTTTAGA